AGAGGGAGTAATTTGTAGATGACTCAGAGATAACTCCTGCAATCCCAGAATAGGAAGAATAATTTATGAACAACGCAGATTGAAGTTGGAGGGATTACAGGCAGCTACTCTGTTTTCTGAAAGACCCAATGGGTTATTTGTACCTAATTTAGTATTCTCTCTTTCTGCTTTTAGAACTTTTTCTCATAGTTGGTGAAACACTTTCTCTGGTGCCTGCCTTGCTGCTGAATAACTTTTGGGCTTTGTCAACAGCAGTCCAGTATCTGTTAGATTCCTACTTTACTACCTGCCAAGGAACTCATACCCGTGGTGGAGGACAGTGTCTGAAAGTGTCATGAGTAGTAGATACCCAGACAGAAGTACATTGCATTCAAACAGCCATATCTACATCTCCTCACTTAAAAATAGGAAGACTAGATTAAATAATAATCATAATACTTGACAGAAACTAAGTCCTTATTTCATGCACTTGTTCAAGTCATTGACTATTAAATCTTGTCCTAACACTTTGAAGCAGATCTTTTATTGCCACTTTTATAGAGGAAAAAAAAAATGAGGTAATAAGAAGTAAGTAAATTTCTGAGACGACCCATTAAAGTGCATTAAGTGCCAAAATACTGTAAAATTTATTTAAAAATTATACTCTAACCAAGATAGATTAAAAGATTAAAAATATCACGGAATGTTTTGCTATCCTTCAAGAGAAAACTGTAGTCTAAATTTAAAATGTTCAGGCTAATAAAATCCAGATCCTTATTATTCTTTAATGAGCAGTACATGATAATAATGATGGCTAACAAAAATAATAAGCCTGGTATTTAAATAAAGAAAACCTCCAAGTATGAAATATGATATGAAGTTTATGGTTAAAAAGCATAGGATCAGTTGAGTTTTGCAAGTTGAAGATATATTTTCCCTTACAGTATATTTCATTGTTGATATTGATCAAATTATGTGGATAGTAGATATGACACTTCACTAATGTTTGAACATGTCTAACTTTGTGTCCAAGCTGTTTCTCTCTGCTCAAATGTAACCCAGTTGTTAACATGTTGCAAATCAGTTGTTTAGGATAAGTAGACAAGAATGAAAAAATGTTCAATGAAGAAAATTTTATTTCCATATTGTATAATGAAAACCTCTTCATTACTTGGGGGGGAGGGGAGTTAGCAGTGATACAAATTCAGCAAAGCTTATATATAAGAGGTGAGGAACCCTTCACAGTCTTATTGTGATATACCCTTGAGGCAAATTTGACTGGAGAACCAAATTTCATTTTACATCTAATACACAAAGTCAAAAGAAGTTTTTCTCACCACCTAAGGAAGAAATCATTACCACTGTAGGAAGGCAATAGTCATTAAATAAATTAAAAGCATCTTTAACATTTTTCCATATACATATATAATATATATTTCTTAAATTGCCATCAACTGTACAAGCATTAAATTCTCCACTAAAAACATTTACAGAAACTAGTGTAAAAGCTTAAGAAAAGGATTGGCTTTATGAAAAAGGAAATTGCTTTATCACTTAAAAACTACACTAAGATGCAATCCTCTGGGAGAATAAGAGCTATACAGAGAGGTCAGACTTACCTAAGTTTAACTCCTTATTTATTTTTGTTTGTTTGTTTAATTCCTTACTTAATTTTACACATCAGGTGTGCAGAACTATTCTCTAATCCAACCTTATTCCAATAAGAAGTCAATCTCCAGATATCAGTTATTTGTTAGCAAAGAGAAAAATGAAAACAGAAAGACTAAAGTGAATAATTGTGAGTATCTGAATATTCCTATACAGTCAGACGGAAAACAGTATTACAAATGAATGCCTATGAAGATGTTAAATGGGCAAAATTTCTATTCAGAAATATGAAGGCGAATCGTTATCTTAAGGAATACAAGGTTATCAATTGTTGCATATCACAGTGATTGTGAAAAGTAAGTCTGAAATATTGCAGTCCTGATATCTGAGGAATCCAATCTTCCAGTTTATGTCCTAAGATTCCAAATCTTGTAAATTGCATATTATTTACACAAGTTGCTACAAAGTATTTTTAAAACTCAGCACTGACATTGATATTCCCTGTATTGGAATTCAAGATGTCAGTAATTTAAAAAATTTCTTTTTAAAATGACCTTGTAGGTGTGTGTGTGTCAGGCATGCAGAAATAGGAATGAGAAAATCGGGGCGATAAGGAAGGAGAGAAGGGAAAGAGGAATGATTTAGGAAACAAAATCCATAAAGATAGTTTTCTTCTTGTCAATACAAATTAAATGTCAGAATCTTTCTAAAAATTTATCTAGGAATGATGTAGAAATTAGTATTCAATCATCTGTAAAGCAGGTACTTGCTCAAATTTTCCAAATTTCAAATAAATATTTCCCCCACTAACTTGTTTGTTCATTAACTTCATCTCCCAGTACTCAGAAGTAACATTATTATTCTTTAGAAATAAAATGTATATACCGTATGTTCTCAAATCAGCAACAGTTGATTGGCTAGAAAATCACTCAAAAATAGCAACTTGTCAAAAATGTTTTCCAAGAAATCATTGCTAAAAAGACTACTGCAGCTCTTTCAATTGCTACTGATACTTAGAATCCTGAACATTTGGCAGTTTGAAATTTTTATTATTTAGAGGTTTTGGAGCCATTGTATGATTTAACCTGTAGTGAGGAAGGAATTAATTCAAATTATACAAGATATGCAACAGAAATTTGGCTCTAAGAAGTTTGAGAAGTGATTCTCAGAATTTCCAGAAGATGTAATCTACAATTTGGGGGTGGGGGGCGTACAGGTCAGTTATAACCAGAATATGATGGCCATACTCTGACTCTATTTTTTTTTAAAGTTTATTTACTTTTCATTAGAAAAGCAGATTTACTGACAGAAGGAGACACAAAGATTCTCCATCTGGTGGCTCACTCCCCAAATGGGTGCAACGGCCAAAGCTGGGCCAATTCAAAGCTGGGGCCAGGCACTTCCTCCAGCTCTCCAATGTGGATTCAGAGTCCCAAGCACTTGGGCTATGCTCTGTTGCTTGTCCAGACTGCAAGCAGGAAACTGGGTGGGAAGTGGAGCATCTGGGACACAACCTGGAGCCTGTATGGGATGCTGGCGCTTGCAACTAAAGGATCAGCCTCAGCCTATTGAGCTACTATGCAGTCTCCTGAATCACTTTTATAACAGAAATTTTATTGAAGAAGCAATTTCATCATCTCACTTTGTATACTTAAATCTTTGCTATCAGAGCAAAAAAAAAAAAAAAAAAGAACGAGAAAAACCATAGTGCCTTATGCTCCAGAACTTGATTCTTCTTCGTAGAACTGGTATGTCTAATTCACAAGATCAACCTACATCCAAATAAATCAACTTTTGTGTACCTGAAGCATCAAATAGCATCTTGTCAAGGCAATCTCTTAATGGGTTTTCAATAAAATGCCCCAGGGCCCTCAGAGATGCTATATTCACTTAAAAACCCTGGAAGACAGAGCACTGTTTTAGTGTTTTTCTATATATCATTGTCATCCCTTCAAGGAAGAAGATTATGAAATAACTATTGTTAGAACCCCAGCATTTTAGGACCAAAAAGGCCTTCCAGGGCCAGTGGCCAGCCTCTCTGTTTTGCCAGTGAGGACCCTGAAGGCACACCGTTGACACAGCTCCACTCACATGAGAGTTGCTCAAAAATACTAAAATAAAACCATGGGGAGCTATAGGCAAGGGTAGTGGAAAGCCCTGACTCCTTCTGGCACCAGGCAACCTTTGAAATGGTTTTAATGTTTCTATCATCGGGCAGGACTGAGCCCAGAGGAGGACTAACCAAAGATGTAACACAAAGACTGAAAACATATCTATCACAAAAACAGTGAGTGATGGTTTTTTTGAGTAATTCTCAAAGGCCCAACTTCAAGGGGAGGTGCTCCTGGCTGACAGAATAGACTTCCTTTCCCGGTCAATCATTTTTAGTGAGCTTTGGTTAAAATACAGATACTATGACTGAGCCCAAAATGCAAATACTCAGTTTGTGATTGTGATCAGAGAGGTTATGTCCAAAGCTCTCTGAATCTCTGTATGTAACCTTGATTTTCCAGGATATAGAGGTCTATAAAAGAATGAGGTGTTCAACGACTATAGGAAGATGTTTAAATTCAATTTTCATAACCAAAGTACCTTTGCAAAAGAAATACAAAAGAGGAATTACAGCCATATTTGCAAAAAACATGAGCTCCTATTTTTTTTTTTTCTGGGAGGAAACAAAATGAAAACAGCAAGTATTTCCAACCAAATTCCTGGGTCACATGGTAATTCTCTATGTATGTTTTTGGATCATTTTATTAATTTTCATAATTTTTCTGGTGCTGGTCTAAACACAAAATTTAAAAAAAAAACATCAACGATAACCATGTGAAGCAAACCTTCATGTAGAAGACACAGGTATCTGGCATGTGGACACATAAGCCTATGGACCAACTCTCAGCACTCGCTCCCTTTAACTCACAGGATGCCTTGTGGAGGAAGAACAATGGTAAAAGCGGGTCTCAAGAACCTTTAAGTTAAATGCCAAAGTGAATTGAACTAATTTAACACTTGCTGAATTGCTCAGAAATGTAAGGCAATAAGCCCACTTCAAAATATGCAGTCTCTTTTGTCACTAGATGAGTAGCTGCTATTTTTCTAATCTGTTTTTAAAGCCCATTGTAAAAATAAATCCATGTATTTTCTAACAGTTCTAAAAAACAATTTGATCACTTTTCTTGTGTGGATTTTTTTAGAAAAGAAATAGATCTCCATATTCATATTTCCTAACATCTTGCTTTTAGTTACATTCAAAGATATATCCAGTCCGTGTCTCTTTTGTGGAACTCTTCAGTCTATTTGCTTATTCTCTGTTGAGTATATATATATAAAAAACAAATCTTTCAGAACAAAATGCATTGGCAGTGCAAAAAAAAAAAAAGAAAAAAAAAGAAAAGGAATCCATTAAAGTAAGGATTGAATCAAGCCATCGAGTGAGTTCTTTGCCAGTTATCTGCAAGCACAAGACTCGACTGTCATGTTAGGATATACTTTAAGGACAACATTCTTATTTTCATCGAAGAATAAGATACTGAGTGAAGACATCTTTTCCGGTACACAGCAAGGCTCAGGAATCCCAGGGACAACCCCCACAGCTCTCACGATGCTCTGGATGGTTGCATGATTTGATGGCTTCAAAGACTATAAAGAGAAATGGGAGAAGAAAACACATTAGTTGGAAACTCTTTTTCAGTCCTCACTTCTAATCATTAGCTTCTCTTATAAGGGATTCATTTCATCAATGTTGTAAAGTCCTGACATTCTTAGACTTTCAGCTCTATTGCCAGTACCACCACCAAGACAGCAGATGTCATTCATTGATTTCCCGTTACATTCCAGGCATGCTGTGCATAGTATCTGTCATCCTCATGATAAGACCACCATTGCTTGTGTGCTACAAGGACTGAACATTTATAGGACACATTTATGGTCAATATAGTTCATGGGAAGGAGAAGCAGAATTCCAACACAGTTCTCGCAGAAGAAATTGTTTAATTACAAATAAATCAATAACAAAACATGGAATTAGTGTTTTCTAGATGGTTCAATAATAACAAAATTGCAACAAAATAATTTTGTGTTGACCTTAATCAAAACCCTTAAAGCACCATATTTCTCAGGGACACATCTTTGCTGTTGTTATAGTGATATTTATGCATTGTTATGAAGATAAAATCAAGTAGGTCAGACAGAGGGCTGTTTTATTTCGTTTAATAATTGCCAAGAGTGTGAGTTGGATGGCGACTCTGTTGCTCCCAGCAGCACAAGCTGTGGTTGAGAGGAAGACATCACTGGCCACTGGGGGTCACTATTGCTCTACACGTTTAGACTATAACCTGCTGGAGTTGTGTTCTAAGAGTGGGTTATCTCCCCTGAGGATGGTAACAATCCAGGGTGCCCAAGGTATCCCTTGGATTAAAAAGAGAGAGAGAGAGAGAGAGAGAGAGAGAGAGAGAAGAAGTTCAACCCAAACAGCCCGTATGATGAAATCTGTTCCCTGGGAAAATGCCAGTGGGACTATTAGCCCACGTGTGGAACATGTGGTTTTAGTTAGAGACCCCTACAACTTGCCTCTACTGAAAAGCAATGAAGTGGCAGCTACTTTTGCAAGCCCAGAACTTCATAAGAGATGTCACACTTTTCATTTTCTCTTATCCCTAGTGTCTCTTTTAGGTGAACTAAGTTAGTTCTCTTTTGGACACACTTAGAATCCAAAACTTGGTAACTTGTCAGAAAATGAGTTGAAATTGGGGGAGATTTAGCTCCAAACCGAATCAAACTTAGAAGGTTTTGTTTCCAAATTTGAAGACATGTTCCTCATGGTTCTCTACTCCAGTGAATTGATGTTTTAATTTTCAGGACTTAAAATTTTCAGCATGTGAAACTGGAACAAATAAAGCAGCTAAACTAAGGGAGCAGCAGATAACAGAGAGAAAGCTGCTTTCATCTATACATGTACGTATATTTATGATCAACGATAAACGTGGAATATAAAGATCATAGTATGTTTTTTGACAGACACAGGAAAATCTGATTTGTCTCATCCCATTCGTAAATGAAAATAATTCATAATTATACATTAGCTTTATCATGAATTGGCATGAATGATTTTAAATGTGCCTAAAAGATGAGCAAAGTGCTTTAATTCTTGCCTCTTGGATATGATAGTTAATTGCAACGAGCTACTGGCATTAAACACTGGCAAAGCAGGGCATTCTTACCATAAGGTAAGGAGTCCCATGTGGCTGTACCTTGTTTACTGCAAAGCCTGCATCATCAATAAACTACAAGTAGCTTATACAAACCGAAGCCAGTATAATCAGACGTGAAAAAACATTGCCTATTATTTCATCAGTAATAATAATTTCCAAAGAGAAAAAAAAAATTCACATTTATTTACATGTCTCTATTAAAATTTTCTGAAGACCCAATCATCCAAACAGCTTGTCAAAAATTCCAAGAGGACTTGTGTAAAACCACATTTTATAACCTTATTCCATTATTATTAATGCTGGATGATTCTTATAATATTTCAATTGCATGAAAAGCAGTTTGCTGCAGCACGTACTGCTGCACATGGCTGCCCCACAGTGCCTCAAGTACTGTACACAGTAAATACTGAATAAATCCTGGCGAAATAGATGGAACACAAACAAGAAATAGCAAATCCTCCATTTTACCTATTTCTGTGGAAATAATTTCCATCAACAAAAATAAAAGTTTCTGTTGTAGAGATGGAAAATATTCATGGGTGTTTCCTAGGAAAATTCCTGTCCTTTTTGTTTTTCAAGCCTCAGCTCAGAAATGCTAGATTCAGAAACTATGAGCATATAAGTAACCTCTAGCGAGGTCACCGGAATCCGGGCACCAGTCCCTGATACGGAGTTGGTGTGTTTTATTAGGGACCTCTCAGAGTACACGCGACTTCTCCCCGTTACTGTCACTATTGAAGTCCTCTGATCAGGCTGCCATGATCAGCAATCATTACGTCATGCACAAAAGAGCCATGAAGTGCTTCGCTGGTGTGAGATATCCTTGCCAGCCCATGATTTTTGTTTGTTTCTGAGTCCAGATCATGTTTTTCTTGACTGTCTCTCCTGAACTGAAGTAGATCCACTTCAAATGCACATTTCTGCTAGTTTCTTCACTTTTGTCTAATATGGTTGAGATGTGAATCCAACATCAGATTAGATAATTTTTTTTGTTTAAGTAACTTATTGCACCAAGGTTCGATATCTTTATATTTCATGAAAAAGATTAGAATTGGAAAGTTTAGGAAATTAATTAGGGGTGTATCATTTGGAATTCATTAAATGTGAAATTCTTCTTTACATAGACTATTTGATTCCAAGTACTTGTTTTTTTTTTTTTAACCTCAATGTCTTTGCTATCTTTAGCTTTTGCAAAAATTCTTGCAAAATAACTTCATTCCTCTAATCCTTGATGGTTCTCTTGGATCTCTGTCAGCAACAATGGCTCAGTCATTCCCATTTGAAAGTGTTGTTTTCCATCTCTTTTAAGGTGGTGAGGAGCTGCAAAGGCATACAACTTGGTTTTTCGCTGTGTGGGTATTTTCATCTCATTGCAGCACACCAAGAGTTTTTCCTTGGGAGAACAGGTTAACTGTAAAGGGCTAAAAATATGAAAAACCCAAACTGCCGTGTCTGTGAATGAAATCTACAGTGCTCAGGCTGCACCTGCCAAGCTGTGTATACTGGCCTCAAGTTGAATTTGATTACAGCTGCATTAGCAGGGGAGAGCATGTCATCAACTTAGAGCCTTCATTCCTGACTTGGGCCGTGAGGTTTTGCTCCATGCTCTTCCAGTCCAGCCCACATGGGTGTGATAGTCCAAAAACTATCTAATTGGAATCAGTGAAAGGGCAAATCCTGGAATTTGGGAAAGGCAGAACACAGCTGTTTTGAATTATGGAGCAGGTTGATGGTGCTTGCAGACAGAGGGCCCCGCCATACAGAGTGGGCTTTTGCTCCAGAGGCTAAAATCAAGAGGGCTGAGAGAGGATGCTGACCTCTGCATCTTCTCTCTGGGGCAGGATGTATATCGAGAGTCTGAAAGCTTTTGACACTTCAGTGATTCCACATGTGCTGAACTGATTTGGTCCGGCACCTTCAATTTTCCTCTATTGTTGTGACTCTCTCTTTGATGTAAATCACTTGCTCTGGTTGTTATAGTGAACACTGCAGAGAGCAGTGAGGGCTACAGATTGCCCCTCCTATATATATAGCAGCTTCCTATTGCTTTATGTTTCCCACCCTTTAGATGACTGTGCCGCTGGAAAGACACAAAGCCTGGAAGGTTTAAAGGGAACCACTAGGATGCTTTAAAAGTTAAGCAGATTCATACAAGGTGATGAGAGATTGAGCACACTTTGTAACAGCCAAGCTTCCACTCTCAACTTGGCAAAAGAGCATCTCAAGCTCAGAGAGAAAACTCCACACTTATCCCTGTTATGTCTCCCCAGAGTTCGGATGCCATTCCAAGTCTTGACAAATATTATGATGAGTTCAGTTGCTGCAACTGATGCTCTCTTGATTCTATTACTCTCCAAAGAATCCTCACTGGAATTGTTCATGGACTGCTGAGCCCACAGTAAGAACCCTATTTTCAGCTTCATGATGTCTGACAAGGGACTAGGAACACTTAGAAAATATTTTTGACATGCAGTTTTTATTCTCTTGATCTTTTCCCTAAATAGGCTTTCTTCTGCCTCTTATGCCTAAATTTCTCTGGTCATTAGTAATCATGTCAATAACAAATATTTACAAAGCACTCACTACGTGCAAGTCATTCTACTATCTCATTTCCCACTGTTTTTATTATGCAGACAATAATTATTTGCCCAATACAAAGATGGCAAAACTAACATTGAGACACTTAGAGCAACTTCTCCAGAGAATCACAGGTAGTTGGAGCCAGAGTTTAAGAAAGAGAAGATGACCCCACTTTTGTCACACCACATGCAATATGGATCAGCAACACCATCATGACCTGGGAGCTTTGACGAGTGTGTGGAATCTCAGGCCCTGTGCCCATATCCACTTGTAGTAACAAGATTCTGGGAGATTTGCACACACCATAAAGTTAAAAATTCCTTCTGTGGTCAGACACATACACTTACTATTTCTGACATAATATTTTCCTCTTTATCTCTGCTGTTCTTATCAGTAAAAACTGATAAGTTTAAAACTCATCAGTTTTGAAATGACTATTCTTGAGGGCGACAAGAAACCATGGCAAAACTCTCCTGAAGTAGCATCAGAGTAATGAATAGCAAAAGCAAATAAAAGCAATGGTGGCCGGAATGCACTGGGAGAAGCTGTAGAGCATCGAGTACAGCAAACTCTCTGGAGCTGAGGACCGAAAAACAGACCACATTAATATGGCTGCCTGGGTCATGAATGTTGGAGTTGGAAAGAGAGCGAAAACTCCTTCCCCAGAACATGTAGGGATATTTCAGTTTATGGAATCTTTTAGAAAATTCCAAGCCTCACTTAAAATCAGTCATCCTAAGTTTGCAGACACTCTTGCCTCTCAATGCTACAGACAAAGCACAACAAGAATCCGACACTTCTGAGTGATTTGATCATCTTTAGTGTATGTTCCTTAAAATGTTACCCCAACTGAATGGGCATCGTTTCATCAGTGAACTGTCCTTTTTTCATGAATAGCTGAACAAGATAGGGTTCTTCATGTAATTGCAAATCTATGTCGTCTTTAGGTTGTGTGTAGCTTACAAAAATGTAGTTCATTCACAATCCTTGAGAAAGGCAAGTTTTAGAAATTAAAGAAATTTCATCTTTCTGAGTCAGCTTCATAAGAAAATTATACTTTAGTCAATTTTTTGGCCCTGAGGCTCACCAAGGTTTGTGAACTTGGCCTATTGCTTTTCTGTGTATTAAACTATTATTCTTTGATTCACTTCAAAAATAAGCAGAAACCCTGCTCTATCCTTTCTCTGAATTCAATTCCTACAGCTACCTTTCATTGCACAACAGGGACTTGAACTGGTCTAAGCTGAAATGGTAGTGCAAGCAATGAATCTAACAAAGGCCAGAGAACACCATTATATTTCACTGCAGAGTGACCTATTTGCGTTCTACAGTCAAGGAGAGCGGTCAGTTGAACTTGCTGTGCAAGATGGAGGTGGGATTGGGTGGATGTTTTTGTCTGAATACTGAGTGCTCATGTGGTCTCATAACCCCTGAGTACTCAGAGTCCCTGTTGACTTCAGAAGAAACACAGGCCAGCTCTGACAGATAGAAATGAGTCTGTGTATCTGTCTGCAGAGGCATTCTATCCTATGTCGCCTTCCCCCCCGCCCTTTGATATACAAGACACAAGCAAATAAGACAAGCAAGCAGAGGATTTCATGAGGCTAGTTTACCTGGATTCACCATGATCCTGATCTCTATGGGAACAACTCACCCGCAGGAGGCTATTAATCAAGGCATTCGGCATTGGTTCCTCAATCCCATTAGCCCTTCCCATAAGAGTCACTCATTCTATGAATAACCTGTCTGAGATCATATTTTAAATCACCTAGGGCTTGCTAGGTATATATATATGTATATGTATAGATTCACACATATAACATAACTAAGTATGTTTGCAGGCTATATAGAAAACACATTCTATGCATGCATCATTGTATACCCTTCCTACCAATACTGATTCCATATAACTTTATCTACCCTCCCCTCCCCCCAAACACACATAGTTATAGTGCCTGTCAGATTTCATAGTATGCTAATGAGGATTCTGACAGATTTCAAGAATGCAAACACACACTTATACACACAGAGACACTCAACTTCGTGTGCCCTTCTTGCCTCTGGAAGTAGGAAATAAGTACAGAACAACGAACAGTCGTTACCTTTGGCATGGGGAACTGGCATGCTCCTGAGCAATAATAAGCATCAAAGGACTTCGGCGAGATAATCCATTCACTCCAGCCAATGTCTGCAAAGTCTACCTTAAGGTATCTCCTGGCACAATTCCGAGGTTCAATCCATTGCTTTCTTCTTGCCTTCTTCAGAGTCTGCTCATCAAACTGCAGTGTCTGGCTCTTCTGATGAGACCCCTTCCTCTGTTTCTTCTTGTTCTTAATTTTCTCAGTGGGCTGAGCTTCAAGAGTCTTATAAGGCTTTCTCTCCTCCCAAACCCCATCCTCCTTATACTGATATTCTGCTCCAGGAAGTTCGTTGTTCTGAAGTGGCAACAAGACCCCGGTGGAGCGTTTCTTCCTTCGTTCGGTAGAAAGGGCAGCTCTAATGTGCCTATCCAGTTTGGGCACAGAAACAGACGGGAAATTGCGGTGTCCTTGTAAGCTTGATACGACGCTTTCTGGTTCAGAGATGGCAGCATCGTTGGCATACACTAAGATATAAGGCTCTGGGAAAAGCAGCATCCTCTTTGGCAGCTGGTGGCCTTTGGAGGAAATGTTAAATCCAATGAGAAACTCCTCATTTTCCTTGGCCTTCCTCAAGAGTTGAGTGATGTCCTTAGAGAGCCAGGATGTGATGTCTCGGTGAGATTTGGCTATGTCCACTGTCAGGTGACCAAGGAGCTGACTTTGGTTCCTGTTAGATTTGAGGATCCATGCAGAGAGATCTACCTGCATGGGCTTCCTCTTAACTTGATGTGAGCATCCTTGAGACACTGGACAACTCAGGCTGGTGTTCACTAGCTCCCCAGAATAGAAATACAGTGTAGCTGACAAAATGTTTTCAGACTTGGTTAGGGAAGTCAGATTAAAAACATGTAGTCCTTTATTTTCAAGGGCTCCTGTAAAGGAAAAATAAAGAGAATAGTAGGACCCCTACTTCTTACCATGTAGAAAATAGCAAGTAAAAATGAATCACTAACCCAAATATAAGAACCAAAATCATGAAGTTCTTCAAAGAAACATTGGGACAACTCATTACTTGGGATTAATGATTGGTACTTACATCTTACACTCAAAATGTGAGCCACACAACAATAACAAAATAGATACATAATTAAATTTATGAAACTCTTAAACTAGATTTGTATGTCAAAGGACATTATCAAGAAAGTGAAATGACAAAGAATGAGTGGAAATATTTGTAAATCATATATCTGGTAAATTTAATACTAAGACTATAAAAATAATAGGTACAACTCAACAATAAAGAGAAGTGAAAAACTAGGGAGTGATTTAACAGACATTTCCCCAAAGAAGATATACAAATGGCCAATAACTATTATGAAAAAAAAAATCAGCATCATTAGTCATTTTGTGAACACAAATTAAATCACAACACAGTAGGAAGCTAAGACAAAAACAAACAAAACAAAAAACAAAAACCCACAACATTTCTGAGGAAGCCAATGAGGATGTGGAGGAATCTGAAACCTTCTCATTGCTGCAGGTGTGTTAGAGGCCTTGGGGGATGGTGACGTATAATGAATGCTTCAACTTCTGTGAAAAGCAGCTCATGAGTTCCCCCCAAAATTAGTCAGAGGATTAACATGCAACCCAGCAATTCTGCTCCTAGAAATGCACCCCAAAGAATCAAAAACCAGATGCTCAAATAAGTACATGTTTATAGCAGCATTATTTAGAATTGTCCAAAGGTGAAACTGCTCACATGTGTATTAGAGAACGAATGGATAAGCCAATTGGGATCTATCCACACAAGGGACTATTATTTTGTTATGAGAAGGAGTACTGAAACTGCTACAACATGGATGAACTAGAAAATAATATGCTAAATGAAAGAAGTTAGACACTAGGGGCCACATGTCATTTGATTGGATTCATGTTAGATATCCAAAATAGTTCTATCAAGACAAAAACAGATTGCTGTTTTCCAGGGACTAGAAATAGGGGAAGTAAGAAGCTTTTTAATAGTTTTAGGGTTTTACTTTGGAATGGCAGACATATTTGGGACTAGACAGATTTAGTTGTTGCACAACATCATGAAGATATTAAATATCACTTCATTGTTTATGTAAAAATAGTTAATTTTCTGTTGTGTGCATTTCACTTCAATTATGATAAATCAAAGCAAAAACATTAGGCAATCTCCAGCTTTTGAGGGTTTCTGGGTGGGATAAAAAGAATAAACAAGAGTGATTTTAAAAGCTAGAGAAAGATTAAAGCAAGGATCAGCCACTCTTAACTAATTTGTTCTTTGCTTTACTAAAGCACTGTGAGCCTTTGAAAATTGTACCATAGTAGTGGACTTAACGAAAGTGAGAGCTGAGAGTTCTAGAGACCAAGACCTTTTCCTACAAATACAGCAAAGTAGTGAAATAGCTCCTTATCTGAAGCGTGCGTGGCCCACTGGTCATGAACACAGGACTTGGAATGAGACTCTTTGATTCAAGAACTGGCTCAGTATGTTATACCTACCTTCCATGTCAACAGAACTGCATGGGATTCTGCAACAAATTTCATAAACTGCTAATAGTTTCTTAAACACAAACTACTAATGTTTTGAGTGCCTATATTGACAGGAAAGAGATTACATGTTCTTGTACAAAGTTGGAGCTGGATGAGCAGAATAATATGTGCCAATATTCGGATAAAACATGTGAATAAAAAGCCTCACATTCAATCCTGTCAAAAAATAGGATGCTGTTACAGAGCTGGAATTTGACATGAACATAACAGACAAATATAAATGTTTATATTCAGTGGAAAGTATTGAAATGATTCAACAGTATCTCGAATTCTTTCAAAATAAAGTAAGACAGAGATGATGGGAGGTAAAGAAGAAGATAGGGGAAATAGGGGGAAGAGAGAGAGAGGTTGGTAAGGGAAGAAACCGGTTTCTTCTCTTAGGATCAATAAGGAATAATCTGTGAAGCTGAGGATAGAATTCAGGAATCCCCAGACCTGGGCTCAATCACCAGGGCCTCACCCTCCTCCATGCACTTGTCCATATACATATTTGTCTCGGAAACACACACGCAATCATGAAATCATGCTCTTGATCAAAAACATGTTTCAGTAAAAACAAAACATTCTTTAAAAGACGTGGAAACTTAAAATGAGTTCACCAAGTCCCCAAGCACAGGCGAAGTGCAATGGGAAACATATTTCACTCATTTTGAACACTGTGTGAAGGAAAAGGAGGAAACTGCCATTTGTGCACATTTGTATAATCCATGACACCAGGCTAATATATCACAGACCTTTCTTACAAAGCCGTGGCATCAGGGCTGCTCGGAGACTCTAGCCTTAATTCATCCCAGCCATCATAGAATATCCAGTTCCTTAGACTTTTTGTCAGAAAGGCAAGCTTCAAGTAGAAGTAAGAGGAGCCACTCAGTTCTAGGAATGCAGCCATCAAATGGTGGTTAGTGTGCCTACCGGAAGGGGACACGTAGACTCCAAGAGCACGAGTGGCAGAGTCTTAGGTGATAAACAAGTCAGGCTCCTGTCCCTCACATTTGGCCTCAAAATGTTTCATTCTTTCAGTCAGGTTTCACACCTTGTGCTGTGCTCTCGATGAGCTTTTTTCCCTTGTGTTTTATCATCAACATCTGCTCAAAACAGCCTCGAAATCGGTCTACTGCCTCATCTAATATCTATCCTTTTAATTCAAGCCATTATTTTAAAGCAAAAACTCTCAACAGGGGTCGTCAGATAAGCTAACATAAACGCTGTAAGTCTCCATTTGCTCATGTGTACAATAGGCACGGTTGCCCTAAGTGCAGAGAAGCTGTGAAGATTCATTAAAAGAATGCAGCTAAAGTGTGCAACAATCAGAAGTTACTTGATAAATGGTATCGCATTGTCCAATGCAATAATGATGGGTCATTTATGGTCCAACGGAGATGTGGTGTTCCTATGCAATACATCCTGAATTCTTAAGTCTTAATTTTAAAAAATGAATGCAAAACATCATATTAATGTATTTTCTTCTGAATACATTTTCAAATGATAGCATTTGAATATGCTAGGTTAGATATATCATTAAAGCTAATATCACTTGTTGCTTCTCACATTTAAACATGGCCACTGACATTTTTAAATTATATGTGTGGCGAACATTTGTGGCTTGCATTAAATTTCCATTGCACAGTGGTGATCCCAGGGAACCCTCCAGGATAGTAGTCACCCAGCCTGAAAAGGAAATATGTAGTAAAGAATTATGATTCTGCCACACCTAACTATGCAAAGCAAAAAGCAAATTGGACAGAAGATTTTTTTTCTTGAAATATAGCATTTTCTCTTTACAAAGGACACCTTAAAAATAATCTTGGTGATTTAAATTTTCATCCTAGCTGTAATCAATTCTATTTGCTATCAAACGTCTAAGACCCAACAAACTGTCCTGAAATAGAGTTAAATGGGTAATGTAACAATGGGGCTTAATGGCATACAGATGACATCTATCACTATAAATGCGTTTTTTATGGATTGCACAGAAACATGCCACAGCCAGCAACGAACAGAAAGCAAAGCACAACAAATGTCTTACTTTACCAAATACACAATTGAACACCTACTAGGCGCCGAGCCCTGGTTGAGATCACAGCACTGCAAACACATTTGCTTCTCATCACTCGATGAGGGGGGAGTGATTCATCAATCATTTGCAGGTAACTGTGTTTGGATAATCCTACTTGTCAAAGATAGTAAGAAAGACCTTGGAGCACAAGAGAGTGATTTGATTGGCCCACATAGATGGCAGAGAGGCACACAGGAAAAAGGTGACTTTGAATCAGACTCTTTTTTTTAAGATTTATTTATTTTTATTGCAAAGTCAGATATATCGAGAGGAGGAGAGACAGAGAGGAAGATCTTCCATCCATTGATTCACTCCCCAGATGACCGCAACGGCTGGTGCTGAACCAATCTGAAGCCAGGATACAGGAACCTCCTCCAGGTCTCCCATGCAGGGGCAGGGTCCCAAGGCTATGAGCCGACTGCTTTCCCAGGCCACAGGCAGGGAGCTGGATGGGAAGTGGAGCAGCCAGGATTAGAACGGGCGCCTATATGGGATCCTGGCACATTCAAGACAAGGGCTTTAGCTGCAAGGCCACCACGCCGGTCCCTGAATCAGACTTTTTAAAGACAAAAGTGGAAGGGACAATTGGGGAGGGAATGAAAGCAGAATATTCCTGTCCTAGGCAATATTGTATAAATGGAAGGTTTTGCATAAGGAATGTTGTCAATGTTTTTAATAGAAAATATTACAATGCTTCAAATTAACCCAGTTGTTCAAAGTCCTTGAAATGGCTACAAGTCCAAGTTCAGAAAAGAAGGGGTAAATTCACATTCAGTTCCTAACCCATGGTGTTGAATTAGGCCCAGCACTCACTAACTTTACTCTTAACCTCTTGCACTCAGGCTGGAGTTCTGTACATACTCTTGATCCCATCCTTCTCCTCCCCAAAAGATTGACATCTCCACCACTCCAAAAATGTGCTTTGATTTCTGTAATCTATACTTTAGTGCATCTTCTCCTATTGCAAGACACTCAAGTTCTGGGCCAATCAAAGCTCTTTTACACAGAACAGCCTGACAGATATTTATTGTGTATTTACACTGGATTAAACAGTACTGGGAGAGTCACATGCATTTGAGCAAATGAGTGCAGAGTAATAAGTCAGAATGAGATAAATAGCTCCCTGTACATGGAAATAAATGATAACACATATCCAATTACATCCATATTTTCCCATTACCCAGATCTTGTATTAATTTATATTTTGAAATGAGTATCTTCCCATCCCTACGAACAGGAGATTTTCATTACAGTTCTTTCTATGCCTGATTTATCTATGCACACAGATATGTTTAAATA